GGCACTGGAGCCAGGGCTTAGTGTTTTAGGGTTTACGGGTTGGCAAAATAGAGCTAACTTACCTGGAACGCGCCGGTTGTGCAGTTTTATTGGCAACTATTCTAGAGGGCCATTTTGCTGCAACTTTGATAGTTGCCGGGTTCCGCCTGTCATGTGCAACTTTAGGCTCGCATGTCAATATTTGTTCATGGTAGGACACGATCATCATGTACCTTGACCATGTCTACTACATAAAAACCTGTACATGGACATGTTCCATGGAATGATTCCTATATCATAGCTTCGGCATGGCCATATATAGCTGTTGCCGAAACCTATATGATTGAAAGCACCCATGCTTGTAACATGTTCCAGCCCTGTTCATGTCCATGGCATATACATGCATGGCTGCTCTACGATCCCTCGGCGCCTGCGGCATCAAAGGAGGCGGGCTTTTTTGAGTGTGCAAGTGCAGGTCTTTCGTGCATTGAGCAGGATGTTGGTTTTGCCTCTGCTACTGTAACGCTTCGCATTGCATGAGCTCAGCAATTCATTCACCATTTCGCTGCTGCGAGGTTCGAGTGTTGCAAGTACAGTATCCGGTATCATGACATGAATTCATGAACCATGGCATACATGATGTACACGGGTATACATACATGACCATGCATGTATGCATGCTCACGAATGTGACATACATGTGCATGCATGCACATAACATGTTCTGAGATTGATCTTTCAGTGAGTGCTGACCATGTCAGAGCCGACTGGTGGCAGCAATGGTGGCAACAGCCCTGCGGAAGAGGGAACTGCAGGGAAGTCGCGACCCCCTATGCCATCTATGAGAGCACCTGGGCCTATGCCATCTATGAGAGCACCTGGGCCTATGAGACCAGGTGGGTTATTCGGGCCACCCGGGGGACCCCCTGGCATGGGCATGGTGGATATGTCCTTCCCTCCAACTCCGAGAGTGCCTCCAATGCCGTTGATAGCACCTGCGCCAATGCCGCCGTTGTTACCATGCCAACTGGGCTTTCCAGGAATGCTGCCTCCACCTCAGATGCGAGATCCTCCCGGGTATATGCTGTTTATTCCGCACGATGTCATGCGGAACTCGGTGCCCTGGGATTTCAGGCGGCCTTATCCTGAAAGTATGCTGGGTATTCCTGCTCTCCCAAGCTTTCGAGCTCGGCCCCTTATGGCAGATGCATGGACACAGACCGAGCGAAAGGTTCTGGCGGAGGCCAGAGGGTCGTGATGTGATGGTCCGAGTCCCAGAAGATCTGGATGAGCAGCCGGGGAACGAGGAGCCATTGGAGGAGGCATATCCGGATGGGGAGGCCACCGATCAGGAGGAGTTTCCCCTGGATGAGATGGCTTTTTTGTGGGACGAACAGTATGCCTCTGAATATGATGTGGCTGGCCAATATGATGAAGAGGGCGAGGCATCGGTCCAGGAGTGGCCGGAGATGGCAGAGCCGCCACAGGTGGCAGAGCAGGTGGCAGAGCCGCCGCAGGTGCCGGAGGTTGCACATGTGCCAGAGCCGCAGGAGCCGCCACAGGAGACTCGGGTTCTTGTGAAGGCCGGCCATATGTGGGTGACTCGTCCTCCGCCACCAAAGCGTGCGAGGCAGGAGTGAGGCGGCATGGGACGGTGGATGTATGAAAAGTGTGTGATGCAGCATGACTGACAGCAGTGACGGTGTAGAGCAGCCAAGCCAGCCAGGGATCACATGAGCACAGTTTGCTAGGTGCATGTTATGTATCCATGCATGACTGCTGACTGGCATGCTGCATTCCAACTGCTTGCAGGTCCTGGGTGATGTGGCGCCGGCGACCGGCGATCGATGCACGCAGGACGGTGCGCCCTCCATGGTCCCCACCGTGCTACGTGTGCAGCTGGAGAGCTTTGCATGTGCATGATCATGCCACTTCATGTCGTCCTTATGTGTGGTTTGGGTGCATCCACAGAATGGTCCTAAAGAACATATCATCACTGTCATGTGTGTTTACTACTTAAGACATGTTCTATGATTGTATATAGTGAGTGGTTTACATGTTATCTATATTATGTATAGGAACCTGACTTGTATTCTAGAATTGCAAACTTGTGCTTATCTACAAAAGTACATAGGTTAACAAATGTTTACAGCTCCGCTACCTGTATCTGTTTATATACCCTATACATGCATGAACTTATCATGTGGGAATCAATAGCTTAAGTTACAATCATGCATGCATGAATGCCATATCATGAACATCATGTTTCACGCACATCAACATGTTACATGGGTTGCTGCCACGACATGGTTTCCTGTTTCAATGCATGTGTCGCTAGCATGGTTAACATGCATCCTTCACAAGTTCTCACATGATTGTACATGGCTGTACTGCTGCATCTCGCAGGGTTTTGTTGACCAAGATCAGGGTCAGATATCCTTGTTAGGGGCCATGGGGGTTCTGGCAAAAAGGTGGAAGGCTCTTGCCAGGACCAAGAATCGCTGCAAGAAGGGCCTTCCCTGGATTACTCTTCATGGTGAGCCCGACTCGGCAATGGGTATGATGGACCTTAAGAAAAATGTTCCGTTGATTCAGACGGCCCTTGAGATCGCTCCCCAGATGATGAACAAGCCACGGCAGATTGAAAAGGAAGTTTCCCGGCTGCCCTAAAGCGCTCGATCGTTGCATGAACTTCACAAATAATGGGTTAAACATGAACATATGATGGTTACGCCATCCCAGGTCAAGACCATGTACGAGAAAATGGAATGGGAGGTGAAAGACAAGCAGCCGTACCTCGACTCCTGGAACATTCGCAGGCTGGTTAGCTATGCGCAGCGCAGGGCCAAGGATGCTCATCGGCGTGGACAGACGCCGCGAGAACTTTGGCTGCAGTTCCATGATTAATCAATGATGTCATGTGCATGCTTTCGTGAGCCCATGATCGGTCCATGCATGGTTCACACAGGTCATGCATGCATGCATGTTTAACTATATATACATGATGAGGATCCTCGTGTAGCTGGCCTCTTTGCGTTCATCATGAGCCAGAAGGATGGAGTCCCGGAGCCAGATGATGATGAGGAGGCGGACGACGCCTCTGATAAAGAGGCTGCTGAGGCTTCGGAGGACGACGGCAACGGTTCCGTCGAGGAGGAGGCGGAAGAGGAGAAGGATGGTGATCCGGATCCATGTGTGGAGGATTTCCAGAAGGAAGGGGTTCACCCCGAGCCACCGGCCAGAGAGGATGGCCAGGAGAAGGGAGAGGATGGGCGAGCCAGCAAGGCTGCGGATGGCAAAGAAAGTGTGGAGTTTCGCAGGCTTCGGTCCAAAAGCTCCAGCTTCGGGCATGATTACGGGAATGACAGGCAGTACGAGAATGCGGAGGAGAAGCAACGTTGGGAGCCAGCCGATGGCGATGGTTGTTTGATTGTTTCGGAAACCATTAGCACCAACGAGAGGGCCGCCAAGCGTGCAAAGCTGTTGGCATTGATGCAGCAGATTAGTGCTGCCAAGGGCAACCGGTTTCATGTCTGATTTGTTCTTAGCCATGGGTTTCATGTATGCATGCATGTTACAAAGTGCTGCATGTTTCATGTCTATTGTCATGAGTCATGAGAGATCTCATGCACATGCTAAACCATGAGTTGCTGCTCAGGCTCATGGACTTGACCTCTCCTTCGCCAATGGCAGGCTCGCTGCTGCGGTTTGCATGGTGTATGTTTTCGTGATATCTTGTTGCATGTTCCATGGCGCCGACATGTTAACTCATGGACTATGAGTCACAAGATGGATCTGTGCATGCCTGTGCTTGCCCAGACAAATCCCGGCCGTTCCGTGACCTTTCGAAGTCGTCTGTGCCGATCAGCGAGGCCTGCCAGATCTGAATTCTAGCACGCGACTTGCACGATTGTTTTCGGGTTTGGTGCTTGGTTTAACTTGTGAGTGGTTTAGGGTTAGGTAGGGCTTATAAGGCTTCTAAGGCTTGCAGGGTTTATCATGGCTTAAAAGGGTTTAGGCTCTTAGCTTTCTGAGGTGTGGGGCTTTTGGGCTTCCGGGTGTATGCATATGCACCTGCATATATTATATATATATATATATATATTGTATACATATATTCTATATAATATATATATATATATATATATGTGTGTGTGTGTGTGTCTGCATCTACCCTTCCTCTCTCTCTCTCTCTCCCTCTCTCCCTTTCTCCCTCTCTCTCCCTCCCTCTTTCCATATATATATATATATATAGACAGAGAGATGGGTACTTTATCTTTATATATATATAAGCATATATCTATATATAGGTATATATCATAATATGCATTAACATGTGTATACATAGAATACATAGAATATATATATATATATATATATATATATATAGAAATAGATACATGAAAGCATATCCTGTGCCACCGGAGGCCGACACCCAGCCCATCGACATACTTTCAGTGGAGGCTGAGATTCCGGAGGACCCGATCTACGAAACCGGCACTCCCGAGAAGTTTGCTGACAGCCATGCCAAGACTCAGCCCTTGCCGGGTCAGGCGGAGGAGGCTCGGGTACATGTTCATGTGCATGCATGGTATCATGAGGGGCTTTACATGTGCATGTTCATGTTCATGTGCATGCATGCTATCATGAGGGACTTTACATGTCGATCTGTCTTGCATGTGCATGTGTCAAATGCGAGAGTCACCCATAGTAACATTTCAGGGTCCACAGTTCTTTATGTTGCCCTCTATACCCTAGCCAGGTGGCTCCACAAGAGCCTGAGGGCGAGGTGGTTGAAACCACCCCGGCTATGCAAAGGGAGTTTCGGGCTCAGCAGCGCGAAGCAAGGGCTGCTGCAAAGGCTGCAAAGGGGAAGGGGCGAGGAAGGGGAACCGGGAAGGGAAGGGGCCGAGGTGGCCGAGGAAGCAAGGAATCCAAAGCATCGCCCGAGGAGGAGCAGCCACGGAAGGGAAAAGGCAAGGGGAAGAAGCGCAAGGATGCAGCTTCCGACGGTGATGACTCCAAGAAGGATGCTCCTGCCCCGAAGAAGAAGCCTCGCAAGACCAACGACGAGGAGGGTGATCCCGCTCCGAAGAAGAAGCCTCGCAAGACCAACGACGAGGAGTGTGATCCCGCCCCGAAGAAGCCTCGCAAGACCGACGAGGAGTGTGATCCCGCCCCGAAGAAGAAGCCTCGCAAGACCGACGACGAGTGTGATCCCGCCCCGAAGAAGAAGCCTCGCAAGACCGACGAGAAGGACGATCCCGCCCCGAAGAAGAATCCTCGCAAGACCGACGAGGACGACAAGGACGATCCCGCCCCGAAGAAGAAGAAGCCTCGCAAGAGCGACCAGGAGCCTGATCCCGCCCCGAAGAAGAAGCCTCGCAAGCCCGACGCCAGCAAGGACGAGCAAGAGCCCAAGACATCCACAAAGGGCGGCGAGCCCACGGATGATTTGGTGCTCGGGTGTCCAAAATGCCGCCGTAGAACGGATGGCTGTGCACAGTGCCAAAATCCCGCCTACAAGGGATCGAGGGGACCTTTGCCGCCTAAGTGAGCTCCGGATGGCATGGCGATGGCATCTTACAAGTGATATCATGAGATCCTTTATACACGTGCCTGCTCCTGAATGGTGGCCTGACCTACCATGACCACGCTTTTGTGATGTTTAGCTCCCCCACGGGAATCGGGAATCATGCTTAATTCATGAATCCTACACATGTGAGCTTCTTTCAAAGCCGAAGTGCTGAAGAGTTGTGTGCAGGCAGTGGAAAACTCATGCAAGATTTTGCCTGCTGCTGCATGTCCATGTTATACATTGTTACATGTCTTCTCATGTTCGCACATGCAGACTCTCGGGGTTCATGCTCATGTTGTGCAACCCCCTCGCAGGTATGTGCTGACCTATGAGTGCCAAGTTTTTACTTCGACAACAAGGTGTCAAGCGGAAAGCGCCAGCTTCGTCAAGTGCGCCCCCAGCTGGTACGTAGCATACGCAGGAGCACTTCAGTTGCAGGTTCATGCAAGAGTTGTGCATGCCAGTTGTTATCCATGGTTTTGTGCATGAACATGTCAATCATTTCCCATGCATGCTGTGCAATAATTGCAGAACATATGGACCTGCAGCTGGCCGGCTCATGTGTGCAGCTCTGATGCTGTGTGATTTTAACATGGCGCCATGTCTTGTGGAGTCGGAACTCCAAACGCTGCTGCTTGCACTGTGGAAACTTAATGCTCCAGCTGTGGCTCGCTTGCAATAGGAATTGTTGACTTGTGCATATTTATGTGTATATACATATCTAGAGTAGGCATACCCTTGCAAACTCCGTGTTTGTGTGTCTGTGATCCCCCGATTGAAAGTCTAGCTTACGACCACAAGTGCATGAAAGTCGACTGTATCTAAACTTTATCACGTATATGTTCATATATTCTCTATATATATATATATATATATACATATATTAATATATGTACAGAAGCTTCACGAGTTGCACGCTGTATACAAACATGCATATATATATATATATATATATATATATAGAGTTGTAGTAGACATGCATATATATATATATATATATGTAGACACACATAATGATAATGTGTATGTTTTATACACATGCATTCATGCGCTACAGATTCCCGCTGACTTGCTCAGTCCTGATGACACATGCACCTGCCAATCCTCTAGGTGCTGATGTATTGTGTGGTTTTGGCTGCCTACACCGACGTCGGATCCCACAAGGTTCGCCAACAATAGATTGCATGTTTATGTCTCTGCCAGCAGGATGTTAGTGGTTCTTCACATAGAATTTAGCTACATAACAACTATACTCCTCCAGGAAGGCTACGACAGCATCGAGTGCTTTGCTGGTTCGGCGAAGCTGACCTGGTGTTTGAGACAGGCCGGGTACCGGGCCACTGCTGTAGATATCGAATCTTGGGGAGACTGGCATGCTGATCGCTGTGCTCGTGGCCATCGGAAGCTGAAGAACAATCCTTTAGACTTTTTGCAACCCTCGGGATTTGCGTCCTCTTGCTGCAAATATAGCATTTCAATCATGAGTGCATAGTGTCATGTACCATGTCGAGTCTAGTGTGCCGGCATGCATTCGATCGATCGAGGTTGCTCTTGCTGGCCATTCTGAGATCGCCAAGTTCAGTGGCTGTGTTTTTCGGCATGGTTTGCAGCTCCTGGGTTCTGATCTCACGAAACAGCACGAAGCGGTCCTTCTGGCGACCGCTCGGAGATGCTTGTGTTAAGGGAGTAGCTGCTTCGAACATCATGGCATCCAGGTGCATGGTAAGTTCATGCATGTCATGAAATCATGTAGTGCACATGCATGTTAGACATGGCCCCGGCATCATATCCCTTCCCTGAAGGATGGCACTCCTGGCATTGGTTATCCAGGCAAAGGGGGGCACGATAACAATCGAGCAACCTGCTTCCTCTATCCTCATGAGGCATCCGCGCTGCCAGTGGTTGCTTAAGCGTGTTCGCCTTTGGAGGCAGAGGTTCTGGATGTCTGTATATGGGGCTCCAACACCGAAAAGAACCTCACTTTGGGCCAACAAGCGATCCGTGTGTATGTTTGCAACACCTATACTGTCGAAGAACAGACCTCCTACTGGTTTCCGATTGGTTCGTCGCCACACTGACAAAAACAATAAGAAATGCTTCACTGGGAAGAAGGCAGAGCTCCGAAACTCCGGGCCCCACGGCTGAAACACTATGATGTATCATGCATACACCGATAACAACTATAGAGTAGATGACTTGTGTTATATGTTAACTGTATATGATCCTACAACTTCTATAATTATGTGTGTAGCTGTGTATATATGTATGTACACGCATGTACATATATATATATATGTATATATACATGTAGATATAGACATCTACAGTC